AACTGCGGGGAACTCTGCAAAAAACGCATCTTCGCACGGGCAGCCCGTGCGTTGGCCATTTATTCGAGATGTTGACAAAACTTATCTTCGAGCTTGAACAAAATGTAAATTGCACGAGGGTTGAAAATAAATGAATGAAAATATCAATCCCTTCATTCCCTCTGTTTTATTCTGTTTGCGTATCGGGCCGTTTTTCCTCTTTTTTGTGATATATCGATAATTCTGTTGCAGAGTTTTGAAGAACAGATGAACGATTAATATGTATTGCTGCTGTATATGATTGAACAATTGGAAATCCTGCGGAACAAAACTGGGAATGAGCCGAAAGCCGACGTTAATTGGCGACGAATATAAAATCCTCCTGAAAACACTCAATCCTCATATAACTTGTCCATTATGTAAAGGGTTCGTTTGCTTCTTTTCAATGCGATTTCTTTTTTTTTTCCTCATGAATATCTGGTGTTTATGTCAGAATTTCACACACTTGGCTAGGTTCCACTGTTTCCTGCAACCTACACAAAACATATTGCTCGAGGTAATTGATGCGTTAACTGAAATTAGTCATAATTGGATATTGTGACTTTTTTTCATCGTTAAGAATGTTAATATCCGATAGCAAAGATATGGATCAAATGGCTAACTAACATATAATTTTGACTCATCTGCCATTTTGGCATCTGTTCTGCCCGCATTTTGCTTTTTGATGATCCCATTCACGTAAATAAGGTCCTTTTAACGTTTTATTGCAAAATTTTTGATCCTTTCTCACTCAGTTTTGCATTTTATTGATTTACCCTGCTCTTTTTTTTCACGTGAACCTGGCTTCTTTCCAAGACAAGAGATTCCCTCATCCAGTTCCGCACTTCTTAGGCTCCTTGTTTTCTCCCTTCCCGTACTATTTCCTTGCGTTGCATCTCAAACATCCATCTGACAAAGGAAAACAACAGTTCATCAAAGCAATGTCTCCTTTTGTGAGAGTGATATTCTGTTACACATTTCTGTGTTGCAGCTATTTTGTTGAAGCTACGACAGTCACCGATTGCTTGCACACGTTTTGCAAGTCCTGCCTACTGAAGCACTTCGAGAGCGTCAATAACTGCTGTCCCAAATGTAATAATCTCATTCATCAGGTTGTTTTTCAAGCCTGATTTATATGTAGCACCCAATATAGCGCAAGCCTCGCAGTTCCGTACGATGTGTCGCAAGTCTCTACGTAAATTATCAATAGCTTTGTCTGCTGTCATGTAACTTACAGGGGCCTAAACCCAGCTCATATAACCGACAGCAACGCCAAGCCACAACAACGGAGGCAAAGAGAGAGAGAGGAGAGGGGAAGAAAGGGAAGAGGGGGAAGTGTAGGGGGCTAGCCGACAGCAGTATCGTACTGCTACACAATCCGCATAAAACTAAATTTCATTTCTAACCGCATCATTCTTATTTCACAAGGGAGAACACGAGTTACAAGACGGGGCATTTGCATATCACATGGGAGCGAAGGGCAACTGGAGCAAGGCGAGGAGTATCAGCCACCAACTTCATTCCTCGCTCATATCAGCACCTTCTTCCTTCTGCAACATTCAGGATACAGGCCAGACATCACATGTGGGTGGGAAGCATTCTCCTAAATTTTTAACTTCCTAGCTTTTGTAGTTCCCGAATTGAAAGTTGCTGACAAGTTGCTGCGGGCGGGCACACACACACACATATATACACACACATATGCAAACACACACAGAGAGAAAAACGCGTGACAATATGCGTTTTGTGCAGCTGTTGCACAACACAAAACGCATAAAAATAAAACAGCTTTTATTGAAAGACAGCAACTGATAATTAGTCCATTGTGTTGTACTGTCAAGCCATGATGTTGTAAGAATTGCTATGACAGTTTGTTGCCTACAGCTGGCTTAAATGCACTAAATGCAAGAAGTTAACAGCACAAAACAGGGAAGGTTGTAAGGAATGTGAATTAAAGAAAAAGGGCTTTTTTTTAATCTGATTGTTCTTAGAATTGTATGTGTTACAGAGTCACCCATCACATTACGTTAGCTTTGATCGTACAATGCAAGAACTGGTGTATAAACTTGTTCCCGGTATGCAAACACGAGAAGAGGCAAATCAGATAGCGTTCATGCGAACACTGAAAACCGAAACTGGCACGGACAATAACGGTAGTGGAGAGAAGTTGGAAACTGACGAAAACACAGTGGTAAGTGTTACTTACTGTAAAACGATAGAACACGGTGATTTGGATTTTTTCAATTTTTTCAGCGACCTTTTGATTTTATTTCTTTTTTTTTTTTTTGTATTTTCTTCGAACAAATCTTATTCTCTTTTCGGCCTTGTCCTTGCGAGAAATTTTTCCAATCTGTTTTCCAGGAAGAAAACACAGAAATGAGGCACTGTTCTGGCGATTTAATGCGCAGACATCACCGTAGCGATGAGCAGGTCGCTGTGGAATTGTGCACTGACAAGCTTTCCAGACTGGATGAAATTGAAATGCCATTCGTAAGACTCTCAGGTATTCATTTGCTTTTTTTGCAGAAGTAGCATTCCTAAAAAATAGTGATTTTTATTCCGTTGAGCACCCTCTTTGACGGAGCACCACGCCACAGTTTTGTCGTTTCGCGCTCTCATTTTCTTCGAGCTCACTTGCTTACATTTCGTGCTTTTATGGCGCATCCTCACCCACTTTAGAGTTCCTCGGTTCCGTTATTCTTTTTGCACTTTTTTTTTCGATGGCTATTTTGCTTGTTGCTTAAATTTTTTCATTTGTTCAGTTTTGCATCCTTTTTCCCACACGCAGTCCATCAAGTTAAAGGAAAAGGCCATCTTATTTGCTTTATTCCTCTTCTCCGCTTTCTACTGTTTTTTCTCAATTTGAACCCATTATTGCTGTGTATGCGTTAGCGCTGCTAATATTACTATTACTTTTATTAATGCTGTATTATTATTTTTTTCATTATTAGTATATTGTTGGTTGTCAGTACCCCTGTTATATATTTAGCACGTTATTAATTAAAATGTTTGGCTGTATTCCCCACCCGTCATTCACATTCTTTTCATGCTTATGTAATAGTGATATTCGAAGACTAAAGAAGCCATATTTTTTGTTCCGTTCGTAGATAATTTCCTCCTGTATGTAATGAAATAAAAAGTAGGAAAAGATCATGTCTGTACTGTTTCCAGAAATGGCGACCGTAAACACGGTGAAGCGGTATTTGGCAGTAGCTCTGTTCGGTGATATTAGTCGCTACAACGATTTGGACATATTTTGTAACAATGAATTAATGGGGCGCGACTACTCGATGAAATTCATTGAAAAGACTCGTTGCCGAAACAAACCGAAAGACGCGCCGATAAAATTGCTGTTCAGGAAGCACATCGACTTTTGATATGTAATTTTAGTTCATTTCGGAGCTCACTCATTCGAAAGATATACTTTTTAGGCAGTGCGATATTCAAATTGTGTTAGTAATTTTGTGTTGATAGATCGATTGAGAAATTAGCTTTGTATTTTGGACATTTTTCTGTTAGACTGAAGAAGCATCTTAATCTCTAATGTTCACCTCTTTTGTCTTTCGGGAGCATGCCACAGTAGTCTTTTTTAAAACATTTCACAAATTTTTGTTGCGCGTCATTAGATTCGGACTGTCTTACCTAAAGTGTTTGTTACTTGAAGGGAACAAATGCGACTTGCTTGGCTTTTGCCCTTACATGTTTCCTGTGCAGCATGTAAAATATTCAAACATTAAGTATAGTCAGCTAGTTTGTTTTCTTTCCATAGCATCAGCACTGAGTAGATTTATTAATGTTGTGTACAGTTACTCAGCTCATGTTATACAAGAGGCCTGGGTCGTTTTAGAGTATTTACTACACGCCATTCATTCTTTTCTCATTATCGGTTGTATTTCTCCAAATTTTCCCACTATTCTGTTCAAAAAATATCAGAAACTTATGTACATACAATCTCAGATCCATTAATTTTTACTCAATTTCGATTTATTTTCTGATTCTACACTTTGCTTTACTGAAATTTTGCATATTAATTCATTCAGTTTTCGCACAGTATATTTGTATATATATAGAATTTCAAATAGGATATGTACATCTTTTGATGATTTTGTATCGTATAAAAAAGGAGTTGCTATCGAAACGAATCATTATTATCACTACAACGGCGCCTAAGCTAGATGCTACATGTATGATTCTTTTTTCTGATCTTTTATATTACTACTGTTAATTTGTCTGCAATGATATTTTACGTTACTGTTAGCTTGAAAAATATTTATGCAGAAGAAAGGCGTTAACAGCAAAGAAGTGAAGTTGGTGGCTAATTCCCTTCGTCTTGCCCAGTCGCCTTTCGAATCCATGTGATATGCAAATGTTCCTTCTCCTGACTCGATTTTCACCCTCCGTGATATATAATAATATGATTAGAAATGAAATGGGTATTGTTGTTTTGTGATGCCAGATTATCGTCCGGCGGCAGCTTGAATTTGCTACCACTCCTCTCCCTCTCCCGTACATATTGTAAGTGCCGTGCTGCCGCAGCATGGAGCATTTGCCAAATCTTCCGCGCTTCTCGGTTTGTTTCTGTTTTTTTCTAAGATAAAGCACTGCTTGTTGGTTTGGATGAGTGCTTTCCGCAGCGCGACACGAGCATCCTCTCCAGCCGTGCAGGTTTCCATCCGTCCTCCGCGTATTACGTATGTGGTGTTGTTATTTCTTATTTCTGAGCATTTTTTTTCAACGTTTCTAGATTAAGTTCTAATCTTCCTTTTGTTCTTTTCTCATTAACTAAGAGTTATTTACTAAATATCTTATTAAAACTGATTTGATAACACAGCCGCCATACTGACGAAGTCCAGTTGTGGTGCCTAACAGGATTGTATACTACTTCAGGAGCCGAAACGTTCATGTTCATCTGATTAATTTAATGCTGTTTAATTAAATTTTAGGATAATACTTCCGAACCTTTAAATCATTTGCGTTTCACAATGTGTCCGGGGAATAAAAATGTGCTCAAAGCCGCCACCTGTAGACAACAGCTACGTGCTTTTGACCTATAGCCTTCCGTTCCCATAACTTGTGCTAAAACAGTCTCCAAGCTGCTATTTCTAAACATCCGGTAATCACTGGTGTTTCTTTTACAAACAAAAATAGTAGCGTGCATCACAAAAAGACACAGATAGGTACTTCTGCTTCGTGTTATTGCTTCTGTTTCGATAGTGAATGCGCCAGTGTTTGCAGCATTTGATAGTAACTGTTCCTTAAAGTGATTTTAGCCCACA